AATATCCCTCAAGTCTATTGAAATATTCACAAAAAGGCTCATTGTCATATTGAGGAAACGAGTTACTTGCCATTTTTTTACAAAAACAAGAAAAAATAAAAAAAAATAAAAAGAAAAGTATACACAAAGACCTAGACTCAAGAAATCAAAAACAATCAAGCATTGACACCGTTCCCCGGCAACGGCGCCATTTTGAGCGCGGGGAAATTATGTCGTTGACTAACCTCCTCACGGCCAAACAAAATTTATTATAATCCTAAACTAACCCCTAAACAAGTCTAGTGGTAAGTTCGGAGTCGAACCACAAGGAACGGTAATGTTGGATTGTTCTCGATCTAATGCTTAAGCTACGCCGAAGTCGGTTTATGGATAGTGGACACTACAACTACACTAACACACATATAAAGATCAAGATATTACAAAGTCTACTAGGGGCAAAGATCCACTTTGAACAATTAACAAGTTAATGGGAATCGATTTGATAATCAATCATGCAAAGAAAGAATTAAAATGGGAATTAATTACCATCAAGAGCAATCTCTCAAATTCCTAGCCTAGATCCCTCATTGACTAGGTGCATAGAAGAAATTTACCCAAAATGCAATCAAATATATAAATTCTAATTCACAATCCCTTGTCAAACTAGAACTAACATGCAATTAAGTTTGCTATCTTGGGAGATCAATCCAATCTAAAACAAACAACATGCCATCATCAATTCAATCAATTTAATCACACAATTATCATCAAATTTATCTCAAATAACTCAATTAACCATAACAAAGCTTCACTCAACACCTAGTAGAAGGAAATCTAGTCAAACATGATTAACAAAGCAATTAATAAAGCATAAAGAGAGAAGAGAGTAGGAAATGCTCATTGATATAAAATGGAGATCTTCAAATCATCAAATTCCTCCTTTGATTATCCAAAATCCATGAAAACCATTGTTTCTCTCACTTTCTCTCTCCAAAATTTGAGAGTTTCTCTCTCTAAAAACCTAAAACTAACCTAAAACTACTGAAAATATGAATTTTCCCTCTAAAATGAGCAAAAAATCTATTTATACCCCTTACTAAATTGCCTAGGAAGCTCCGCAAAAGTCGAGCAGCGTGCAGAGGAGCGGGCGCTCCAATTTCGTGCACGGGCGCTCCTAGCTGCAGCAAAATATGGCAGAATCGTTTGGAGCGGGCGCTCCTCATAGGATGCGCGCCCGCTCCTATCGGACTGGGCAAACCGCTCAGCTTCAAATGAGCATATCTCCCCCGTTTTACAACGAAATTGGGCATATGACCTGTCTTTGGAATGCTCTCAAGATAAGATTTCATCTCCAATTAGAATTGCCCAAAAATGTTTTGTAGATCAAAAGATATAGGCATTTGAAGTTCGATCATTGCAAATCAAGTGCACATTTCTTCATTACTTGTTCTTTTATGTTTTATATTTCTTCAATCTTGAGCAATGAACTTATCCAAGTGTTCCTAAACATAAGAATAAACCAATAAAGTTTAATCTAATCCCATAAGCAACCAAAATATGCAAGAAAAGCCAAAATTGAGCAATAACGACATTTCACACGCAATCATGACAAATGTAATAAAACGTTATTAAAACCAAGTAAAAAGATATAAAAACTATGAAAAAATAACTAGAAAACTCTTAAAAATAGCGACATAAATGACACTTCATATTCCTAATTTATACGCCTAATGTTCCTAATTGTAATTCCTATTGTTCTTAATTTATTGCATATTTTTTATATGCCTAATTTTTTATATGCCTAATGTTTGGAATAATGATCAGTCCTTTGCCCTTTTCATTGTTCCTGCCTAATATTCCTAATTTATACGCCTAATGTTTCTAATTTATATTCCTAATATTCCTATTTTTTACGCCTAATGTTTCTAATTTATATTCCTATTGTTCTTATTTATATGCCTATTGTTCCTATAATGATCAGCCCTTTGCCCTTTTCATTGTTCCTGCCTAATATTCCTAATTTATACGCCTAATGTTTCTAATTTATATTCCTATTGTTCTTATTTATATGCCTATTGTTCCTGCATTAAAAAAAAGCAGAAGCAGAAGCAGATGAGAGAAAAAAAGCAAAAGCAGAAGCAGATGAGAGAACACAAAGCATTGAGACAGAGACACACCGCCAAGAGGTTTATAAATAAGGTTTTAAAAGACCTTCCGCCTCAACATAAGGATGGTATCAATGATTTGGGGTTTGGTGGATTCCTTCACTTAAGTTTAGATGCTCACAATGGCAGTTTTTCTGAAGAATTGGTCAATAGCTTTGACCCCGATAGAACATCTTTGAAACTCTTCAATGGCAATGAGATACTAATAACTGAAGAGGATGTTCATGTAGTCTATGGCCTGCCCCAAGGTCCAGTCAAAATTAAAGAGCCAAGAACAAATTTTAATTTTGATAAAAAGGACTCTGAGGTCTCTGATGAAGAGAGAAAAGAGAGAGAAGACAACTCACTGTTTCTAAGGCAATGGAGGAGTCAGTTTGGGCTTGACACTGGAAGTCCAACTTTCGGTGTCCTTGTAAAAGTGATAGAAGAACAAAAAAAACAAGATGTGTCCACTGAGTTTTTACTGAATTTCATTGCAGCTGCGATTAATTGCTGTGTAATGTCAACAGATAACACATCTGTTAATTTCAAATTTTTATGTAGCTGTAAGGATATCACTAAAGTGAGCAAACTTGATTGGTGTTTGTTCACAAAACAAAGCATGACTGAAGCAGTCAGAAAATGGAAAAAGGGATCATCATATTTCACTAGTCCACTTCCTTTCATGATGGTAACTACTTCTCTCCTCTACCTATTGTTTATCTTTTCTACTCATTGTTCCTAATTTATATGCGTATTGTTTCTAATTTGTATTCCTATTGTTCCTATTTTTTCTAATTTACATGCCTATATATTGTTGTACATATTGTTCTAATCTTTCTTATATATTGCTTAAAATCAGATTGTCTATTTTGATAGACTTCAAAGAGGAGATGCTTATCCTCCAAGGCAAATTCCCTTAACCTCTGTTTGGAATAAAGACATGATTCATTCAAGGATGAAGATTGAACTAGAACGAGGTTATGGTCGAGGACATGTTCTTCCAAGAATTCCAGTGCCTGAGATTGAGAGTGAGAAACCGGAATTCCAGTGCCTGAGATTGGAAGAAAATCCAACTGCATCCTTAGAAACACGGGTAAATTACTGTTTATTTCTTAATGAAACTTATTGTTCTTAGAAACTTATTGTTCTTACTAATGTTTGTGGTTCTTAATGTTCTACATATTGTTCTAATCTTTTACACTCCTTTCTCCTGTTTATTGAAGGATTACTTTGCCCAGTTTTCAACAATGGCAGCAACGCTGGTAAAAAAAATTTCTGATATGTATGCTTTCATTAGCATGTTTGAAGATGTACAAATACAAAAAGAATTGAAGACCATAATTGTTGACAAGATGTTCATCAAATACACTGATCCAACACATGTTTTTGATGAGTCAGCGTTCACGGCTGAGCTTAATGAAGCATTATCAAACATACAAGCCAAGAACAATCAAAACGAAGTAACTCACAGTGACACTACAGCTTCAACACTCCATGCTTTTTTTACTGGAGAAAACCAAGCTTCACAACTTCAAAACCAAGCATCAGCAATCCAGACTGAAGAAAACCAAGCATCTCCTTCCCTGGAGCTTCAAAACTACAACTCCATCATCGATTCTCCTCCCCTGACTCAATCTCCAACAGTCCATACTTCAACAGTCCTGACTGTCCATACTTCAACAGTCCTGACTCCAACAACAGTCCAGAAGACTCAATCTCCAACAGTCCATACTTCAACAGTCCTGAATACTCCTCCTCCCCAGAAGACTCCTCCTCCCCCTCCCCAGACTCACACTGAAGAAAACCAAAACAAAAAAAAACGAAAAAAAGAGAGAATGTGATACCACAAAAAAAGAAAGAAAAAAGGATCACACAAAATCTCCCACAATGCCTACATTCACCATTCATGACAAAAAATGAACTAGTATCCAAGACACTAAAAAGAAATGAAAAAATGGTTGTTGAGTATGCATTCGCTACTGGACCATCTGCACTGTAAGTTTGCTGTTCATAACTAATATATCAGTTGTTCCTAATTTATATCAATGCCTAACTTATATATTTCCTAACTTTATATCAATGCCTAACTTATATATTTCCTAACTTTAATTGTTGTTGTATGTGCTGCATAATAAAGTGAGGAGCTATACCGAGATCCATTAAACTACATCAACAGGGAGGACATGGCAACACTGCAAGAAGGCAATCAGGTGGTGAGCAACATCATTGACTCCTATGCATATATACTCAACATGGAAAACAAGAGAAGAAATCCTGATGCAAAAAATAGATTTTTTTGCACTACTGAGTGCTGGGTATTGTTCCAAACTCATACATTTAATGTTCCTGATTTATAAACGTAATGTCTAACTCATACACTCATTTCAATACTGAAGCAAATACTATGCGGCGAAGGTCACTTCAAGAAATCAAAAAACACTTACGATGAAAGATATATAGCATTCAAGGCCCGTTTAAGTGACGAAATGAAAAACTCTGAGATCACTACGTTTGATAAAGTTAATTTGGTAAATACTTTCAGATTACTTCCTTTATTATTTCCCAATATATTTTACAATACATTAACATAATTTTTGTTTCCAATATAGGTATTCTTCCCAGTACCTGCATATTATCATTACTACCTGTTTTGCATCAACTTTACGAAGAAAATACTAGAGGTGATCGACAACCAAAAGCTGCAAAGGCACGTTTCATTTAAAAGCAAGTATGAGGACTTCCCACAAACATTTGTAAGAACTCTGTAAAACTAAATTCTAATTGTTCTTACAACTTGTTCCAACTCCTAATGTCCATGTAACTAACTTTAATTTTTGTATTGAAGTTGAAGGCATTTGCACAATTCCTCAATGAAACAGAAGAAGGCAATGGAAATTCAGTAAAAGAATTCAAAATAGTAACCAAACAAATGCCATGGAGGAACAATGATAATATCACAGACTGTGGAGTGTATGCCCTGAAACACATGGAATCATACGAAGGGCAAGATGACTGGAAAATAGGAGTAAACAACAAAGTAAGTTCCTTAATCCAGATCTTTATATGCCTAATGTTCCTAATTTATATGCCTAATGTTCCTAATTTATGTTCCTAATGTTCCTAATGTTCCTAATTTATATTCCTAATGTTCTATATCCTCTTCCTATAAGTTAGGATCATGATTGTTTGTTGCAGCCTTTGCAGCGTGATGAAATTGCAAAACTGAGGATGGAATTCTGTGGGAAAATCGTGCTGAGCGAAGAAAACACGTGCAGGGAAGAGGTAGTAGATGCCGCAAAAGAGATGAACGCTTAAATTGCAAACTAATATGACAACTTAGTTTGACCATGATTGTATATCATATGCTTAATGTCATTATGAAACGAGAATATTGTATGAATGTTATTAGGCAGGAGAGCAGGGAGGTATGTACAGGCAGGAGGGGGGCAAGTGTGCAGGGAGGTATGTGCAGGCAGGAGGGCAATTGTGTGCCGGCAAGATGGAGTCTATAATTGTAATAATAACTATATTTCATAACATAGACTTAACTATGTTATGTCCGGTTCAGGGACAATGATCTCTCAATGTCCGGTTCTTATCACTACAATAAGTACAATGAAGTTATCACTAAAAAGGCTATTTTTTTCATTTCTGCCAAACGATGAAAACCTATATCAATACAAGATCCACCATCCTTCATTTGCTTCACAATTCACACATTATATGATAAACTGTAAGGATTTAAGCCATGATAAACTGTAAGGATTTAAGCCTATGAGAAGCATTATGGAGGCTCATGAGGACAGAATTCACAAGTGTCTACTGGACCAGCAGGTGATTCTGGAAAGCAACCCCTGGATAATTAATAATGAACAAAAGTTTGGAACATTTGGTATAGTTTAGAACTTGGTATAACAGTTTGGAACATTTGGTATACAGGTTTGGAACATTTGGTAAAAAAGTTTGGAACATTTGGTATAACAGTTTGGAACATTTGGAATACGGGTTTGGAACATTTGGTATAAACGTTTGGAACATTTGGTATAACGGTTTGGAACATTTGGTAACATTTGGTATAAAAGTAGAACAATACGTATAGAGTTATGAACAGTTAGGAACATTAAGCTATAAGTTATGAACATTTGGTATAAAATTTTCGAACAATACGTAATGAAGTTTTCCAGATTCAGATTTCAGCCCATTTGAGCTATTTTTTTCATTTCTGCCAACAAGATCCACCATCCTTTATTTGCTTCACAGTTCACACATTATATGAGTTCACACATTATATGGTAAACTGTAAGGATTTAAGCCTATGAGGAGCATTATGGAGGCTCATGAGGACTGAATTCACAAGCAAGGCTAGAGCTGCATAAGACAAGTGTCTACTGGACCAAAAGTTTGGAACATTTGGTGTAAAAGTTTAGAACATTTGGTATAAAATTTTGGAACATTATACCAACGTTTGGAACATTTGGTTTGGTATAAAAGTTTAGAACAATAAAGTTATGAACAGTTAGGAACATTGAGCTATAAGTTATGAACAACAGGTGTATGAGTTTGGAACATTTGGTATAAAATTTTGGAACAATACGTATAAAGTGGCTACCAATGGTTGTTCTCTCATTATTTCTTCTCCTTACAGACCACCTAAAGTCCATTTCTCACAATCTCCTTACAGACCCAAGTCCAAGCGGAGACCCAAGTACAAGAAATGGGAGGACTCACTGATTTAGGAAATATCTAAGAAATATCTAAGTTTTTAAAGAACTCTTAGTAAAGAAATGTGGTACTCTTATTAAGCCTACATACTAAATAATCGACCCAAATAATAAGTAAATAAAATCATTAAGACATTACAAAGTGAAAAGAAATTGTTATCAAACTTTTAATATTAGCCAAAGAGTTTTTACACCGATGTAAATGTGATTAACTTATAAACACTATTCACCCATTTGACCCACCCAAAGACTTACCTAAAGCCCAACCATTAGAATATTATGGAGCTGCTCGACAGTAGGTCCTCTTCTTTGCAAGTGGAAAACGTGAGACAATTTCAGGATCCTGATCGACCTCAGGATGCTACAACAACAACAACATGCTCAGCATTTCTGGTCGCCAAAAAATTTATCTAACAAAAATTTATCTTAGTCCAAGTATGAATAAGTTTCAATCGAGGCACACAGTTGTTGAAGTACCTGGGTTTCTGAACCGACAAATAGTGACCTTGATACCGATGTGGCTTTTGATGTCCTAACAGCTTCATGTGCCGAGCAAGGTAACACTACTTAAACACTAATAATGTCGGAAATTGTTGTAACAAATGCCTAACAGCAGGGAGCTTTTCTTTTCCCTTTGCCCTTTGCTCGACTTGATTGGCTGGGAATCTGCATCTCATCTTCATAATCTCATCTCATCTTCATTATTGCGAATCTGCAGTATATGTCTACGGATATGATGCGAATCTGCAGCATTGATGTCTACGGATATGAGATCAGTATAATGCAATGCGCAAATTAAAATTTGATGAAAGAGACTAGGTAACGGGTAACACTACTTAAACCGGATATGAGATCAGTATAATGCAATGCGCAAATTAAAATAGCTATGAGATCAGTATAATGCAATGTGCAAATTAAACTAGCTGACTGGAGAGAAAACCGCCTCATTATTTAAACCGCAACATTATTTGAACCGCCACATTATTTACGGATATGCCATTTAATTTGTCAGTCTAAAACGTAATACTGTATTGTTCCAAACTTAATACCGCATTGTTCCAAACGTAATACTGTATTGTTCCAAACTTAATACCGTATTATTCCAAAATCTGAGGATGTCACAAAAAGGCGTAAGGCCAAAGCAAAGAATGATATGGAGAACTATGCTCATGAAAAGAGCCGAGGACATGATGCTGATAAGATTGGCAAAAAAGATTGGAGGAAGATTGAGGATGTTATTCAACAGACAATGCAATAGTTGGATTGGAATGTTTTAACAGAGGCTATATGGAGGCTCATGAGGACTGAATTCACAAGCAAGGCACTCGACCAAAAGTTTGGAACATTTGGTATACAAATTTAGAACATTTGGTATAAAATTTTGGAACATTTGGTTTGGTATAAAAGTTTAGAACAATAAAGTTATGAACAGTTAGGAACATTGAGCTATAAGTTATGAACAACAGGTGTATGAGTTTGGAACATTTGGTATAAAATTTTGGAACAATACGTATAAAGTGGCTACCAATGGTTTCTCTCTCATTATTTCTTCTTCTTACAGACCACCTAAAGGCTATTTTTATCACTAAGATTTCAGCCCATTCTATCACTAAAAAGGCTATTTTTTTCATTTCTGCCAAACGATGAAAACCTATATCAATACAAGATCCACCATCCTTTATTTGCTTCACAGTTCACACATTATATGAGTTCACACATTATATGGTAAACTGTAAGGATTTAAGCCTATGAGGAGCATAAGTACAAGCAATGGGAGGACTCACTGATTTAGGAAATATCTAAGAAATATCTAAGTTCAATGGGTCAAACGAAGTCACAAAAGAGCTCAAGTGCTATGTGGTTCTTAGTAAAGAGATGTGGTACTCTTATTAATCCTACATACTAAATAATCGACCCAAATAATAAGTAAATAAAATCATTAAGACATTACAAAGTGAAAAGAAATTGTTATAAAAAACTTTTAATATTAGCCAAAGAGTTTTTACACCGATGAAAATGTGATTAACTTATAAAATTAGCCAAATAATTGACCTGATTAACTTATAATATTAGCCAAATAATTGACCCAAACTCCTCCTTTAGACACTATTCACCCATTTGACCCACCCATAGACTTACCTAAAGCCCAACCATCAGAATATTATGGAGGTAGACAATATTATGGAGCTGCTCGACCCACTACTGGTCCTCTTCTTTGCAAGTGGAAAACGTGAGACAATTTCAGGATCCTGATCGACCTCAGGATGCTACAACAACAACAGCATGCTCAGCATTTCTGGCCGCCAAAAAATTTATCTAGTCCAAGTATGAATAAGTTTCAATCGAGGCACACAGTTGTTGAAGTCTGTTCATGGACAAGATTACATGGGTTTCTGAACCAACAAATAGTGACCTTGATACCGATGTGGCTTTTGATGTCCTAACAGCTTCATGTGCCGAGCAAGGTAACACTACTTAAACACTAATGATGTCGGAAATTGTTGTAACAAATGCCTAACAGCAGGGAGCTTTTAGGCGTTTGATGTAACAAATGCCTAACAAATGCCTGAACCGACAAATAGTGACCTTTTGATGTGGCTTTTGATGTCCTAACAGCTTCATGTGCCGAGCAAGGTAACACTACTTAAACAATAATGATGTCGGAAATTGTTGTAACAAATGCCTAACAACAGGGAGCTTATCTTTGCCCTTTGCCCTTTGCTCGACTTGTCAGCCCTTTGCTTGACTTGATGCAGCCGGAGTACAGCTAGGAAGGCTATGAGACTGTTGGCTGGGAATCTGCATCTCATCTTCATAATCTCATCTCATCTCATATCATCTTCATTATTGCGAATCTGCAGTATTAATCAGCAGTATACGGATATGAGATCAGTATAATGCAATGCGCAAATTAAAATTTGATGAAAGAGACTAGGTAACGGGTAACACTACTTAAACCGGATATGAGATCAGTATAATGCAATGCGCAAATTAATATAGCTACACGATATATACGGTGAAGATGAAGCCCAAATTTGAGCAAGATCGGAACACGGATGAGCTTCTTGGAGGTGATTAAATAGCTTGGATGCTTCTATCACACAAAGCCATCTCATCTTCATTATTGCGAATCTGCAGTATCCTACTAATGAGAATGTTGAATGCTAGTGTCCTTTCCTATATCCTAAATGCTAGCCATATTTGGTCTAATTTATTGCCTTTAACTTAATTGGAGTATATAAATGCTTTGGTCTAATTTAGAGCACTAAGGCAAGAGAACATCAAAAGTCAAATAAAGAAGCTTCTAAGACTGAAGTTGAGGATTAACATATTATTAAAGAACGGATTTCACCTGCGTGGGAGGATGTACACCTTAGCATTTTCTTCCAACCAGTTGAGGGATCGTTCTTCTTGGTTCTTTGCCGAAGGGACAATGTCAGCCTCTTGTCCCTCTTGTCTTCTGCAAAGAACCAAGCAGAACGATCCCTCAAGTGGTTGGAAGAAAATGCTATTCGATGTAAGCATCTTCACATTGGCATGGTAGGAAAGGACATTGGCATTCAACATTCTCATTCCTTCATCTTTGTAATGCCTAAGAACTCGATTGGAAAGTTCGACATCAAGTGGAAGACAATAGGCCTTAGTTGGGGTTATTATGATCAACCTCCTAACTTCTACAATGTCGGACAATAGGCCTCAGTTTGTGGCTAGCACTTAATATTTGTCGGTTCACGGTTGGAATCTTGTCCATGAACAAACTTATGAACAAACTTCAACAACTTTGTACTCTCAAAAGGAAAAGAGATCCAATACTGCCAGAGGATGTTCTGTTCATGATGAACAAATTTCAACAACAAATTTCAACAACTTACTTCATCATGATGTCCTTCAGTACTTCTTTGGTAGAAAATAGTTATTATTGTTGGT